GTTTGGGAGTAGCATCGTCATCATCTTCGCCGGAATGAGCAACCGGAATGAGAAGCTCCCGATCTCTGTTAGCCATGACGGTCCCAGGTTTGGCGTCGCCCATAAACAGCGAAGAAGAAAAGGGAAATGAAACCCAGCAAAGCGGAGAAGGAAGGAGATCAACAATGGAAGAAAGGTCAAAGATTTCAACGGAGGAAGGAAAATCCCAAAGCTGACTCTAATTCGACGGAGAGAGAGAGATTATCTGTTTCCAGTCTGTTTCGGAAATTTGTTATTAGCTTATTAAAAAAAATATTATTATTTAAAATCCATATAAAATGTCAATTATGATTGGATACAAAAAAAAAATCAATTTGGTTAATAACCAAAAAAAATTAAAACATAATAACTAACCAAAAATTCTAAAATTAATAGCTATGATTAGTGACACATAGGGTATTTTGCTTAGTTATTATGTTTTCATTTTTTTTTTGGTTATATTTGCCAATTTTCAAAAAAAAAAAGCCAATTATCATTTGATAAAAAAAATATCATTATTTTTGTTTTTTGTCTCTTTATTTTATTATAAATTAATGTTGTAGTCTTATATGTTTGGATTAGGGTGTTATAACTTATTTATTTGTTAAAAACAAATGCTATGCTGGACTAGGGACGAAAACAACATGAAACTTCTTATAATCATTCACTATCAAATGGATAATGTGTGATTCAGTACTGCAGTGACGACGGTCAGTAACGAATGATCTTGGATATGTTAGGGATAAAATACGTGGCTTAATCGATATTATACGCTTCAAAGATAAACAAAGAAAAACAAAAATTAGTAGTATCAATTAACAGCCTGTGAATAATTTAGTCTAGAGCTAAACATATGTACCAGACCTATTTTGATACGTTACTCGTCATGAAATTCTACTACCAAACTTTTTGGCCATTTTTTTCAAAAATTTTTTTTTTTGGCCATTTATTGGATTTGGAGACGATGTAGCCGAGATGGTTAAGCATTTTTCGAGACATGGAACTTTGAAAAACACTCTTTGGCAAAGAATGTCATTCGAATTTTTTTTTTTTCTTCTAAAAATGTCATTCTATATTTTCAATGTGACTTTTCAAATGCATTTTCTATCTTCTCCCTATTAAAAACTAAATTTCTTTGAATTTAAACTATAATCATTTAGTTAAATAATATATTAAACAGGGATAGATTTATATATTTTGATGATTCTTTAATTCGCGTGAATATATTTAAAATGACACTTTTT